TATCATGTTATGAGGTTCTGAATCTTATTATTATTATTTTTTTATTTAGCAGGTTTCCTATGATATTTTGCTGTGAGAGAAGGAGGCATTGTCTTGTTACTGCCAGGCAGGTGTAGAAGTTCTGGGCTCTCCAGTGGGCCTCCACTGATACCAGTGAAGGGGGAGAGTTTCCAGTACTGTTGTGCAAGGAAAAAAGTCTAAGCTACCCACTGGAATTTCTCTGACACTACCCCTAAGAGGGAAAGGGGTGCCAAGGGGTGCCTATTCACAGCTGTGTGAGAGTGGAAGTCTAGGCTCCCCACTCAGCCTCTGCTGACAGAATTGAAGGTGGAGCCATGGTTCTTTGGTGTGGCATTTTTCTGGAGTAAATAAGTTACTATCTAAAAGTTTTCTCTCTGGCTAGATTGCTCCTTTCTTGTTTCTTTGGATAGAGAAAGTGGATTTGGGGGGGTCTTTTTATGTCTATTAATTAATTAATTATTGTTCTATTTAGTTTCTAGGATGCCAGCTTGTCTGAAATTTAGTCTAGGATACATAAAAGAGAAGGAATATCCAGGAAATTCAATGCTGTGTTATTTTTCAGGTCCCAAAGTCCCAACCCTATCTGCCTTCTTCTTTCTGTCAGTGTTCTTATGTTTATTTTATATGTAATGTCCAGGATTTTTAGCTGTACTTAGCAAGAGAAATAGAGAAAAAGTGAGTCTACTCTATGTGTTTCAAAAATATAAGAATTATTTTTTTTAAAGATTTGTTTTATTTCTACTGGTGAAGGAAGAAGGATAAATAGAACTGTTTTCCAATTTGCTCTCCACTGTATACATACATACTGACACCAAAAGTACTCCAACAATAAATAAAACAACCCCAAACACCTTCAAACTCCACCAGTTCTTCATATTTTGACCAAAAGAACAGATCCTGGGAGGAAGTGCAAAATGCAAAATCAAATGACTGAAAAATGCTGAACAAACATTATTATTAATATACAAAGTATTTATATTACTGAACTAGTAACAGATGATGTTCTCCATATCTATAAAACTTTGGAACCAAATAGCTGATTTGTTAAACCTAGTCGATGCCAGATTCCAAAAATCAGAAAAAATTTTACTTAGCTTCATTCTTTGATGCCTCATCAAAGTTTTCTACAAGATCTGGAATGTCATCATCTACCTCATCAGTGTCTTCTGGTTTTGGTGCTTTGTTATCCGAGACTCTTCTATATCAGCTATATTGTTCATGTCCAGTTTTTTAAGAGAACTCTGAAGCTTTTGTCATCAGCTGTAGGTGTTCTATGTACCACCTTCTTCTGCAAGGTGTACCCTTGCCCCCTATCTGGACCTGAGCCTGAAGTTTGGCTAACTTTTCTTGATACATGCTGTTGGTAAATATGAAGGGGGAAGGTCCTCCAACACCAGCACATGGCAAGAGCAAGATGGCTGCCTCAGAAAAGACAGAGAAAGATAGCTGTAGCAGTGGGAGCCAGACCCCAATATAATTATTTTTATTGAAAGTAACATATTTTAGGATATGGAATTTTCTTAATATGTCCTTGTCCAAATCTCGTAAGTCCTGATAAACAGTGGTACCATTTTTCCTTTCTAAAAGATATGTCAATTTAAAATTTTTCTTTCTCTCTAAGATCTACCTAGAAAAAAATTTAATTCCTTCAAGGTCAGATTTTTATTTTTACCATTCTCATGTTAATTAGTTTTATGTCATATATCTGGTAATGTTATCTATATAAATACTACATTTTAAAAATAAATGTTATTTGTGTATTCTTTTTGGGTACAGAGTTATATACATACTCATAAATACCTGGTTTGGTACTCTTTACTTTGGTATGACATACTTTGGTATGTCTTTACTTAATTTATATAATTCATCTGTGATATTCTGATAAAAGTTATGTTATAGTTTCCCACCACGAATGTATGGCAGTGTCATGTTGTTACTAAGTTTTCCTAAATATGTCTTTTACCCACATTGATATTATTTAGTAGATAAAAATTTATAAATGTTACATCATGTTGGTGTACTATAATTTTTTTCAATATAAAATCTTGTTCTTATCTCATTTATTGATTTTTGCCTTGAATTTTACTCACTAATTTTGATATTAATTTTTTCACCACTGTTTTCAATTGTTAGCATTTCTACAGGCTGTAAAATTCATGTGCAACTTAAAATTGTACACTATTTTAAGTTGCACATGAACTTTATGGCCAACCTATGTATCTTTCCACATTTCTTTATTATCCATATTTCCATATAATTTAACATTAGGGATATCTTTTGTGACTAGTATCTAGCTAGATTTTGTTCTTTTACACATTCTGAAAATCTTGTCATTGAAATGAAACCTTAACTAAGCCATATTTTAATGTGATCACTAATATATTTGTTCTCATTTCACGAGTACAAAATTTTCACTGGCAAAAGCATCCTGCTTTTGGTAATGTGGGTTTGAGAGACTGAGAGACCTGGTTTGAGACCAGGCTTTGTCACTTACTGCTTTTATGACTTTGGCCAATGAGTCACCTTCCTCATCTATAAAATGCCACTATTATGAGTACCTACCTGAATAAGATTGTTGTATAGATTCTAAAATAATTTACTGAAAGCACTTAGTTTAGAGCCTGGCATAGAGAAAGTGTTAAATAATTACTATAGTTACTATTGATATTGTTACTGATGTTTTGCTGTGTGACCACATATCAGTTATCAAAATAGTTTGATTTAAATCTAGATCTTTGTTTAGCAAGTTCCCTCTCAGTGGAAACAATGCATGGGTACAAGGCACACTTTCTGGGTAAAGGGTACAACTACAACTCAGACTTAATCTTACAAATGCAAACAATGTAACCTAATTGTATGTACCCTTCTATATTAATCTGAAATAAATAAAAAATATAGATCTTTAGTTTTATTCTACTTTTCAAGCTGTGACTATGTACCTCATCTCAACTATTAGGTATTTCAACTTTGAAATCTCTTTCTGTCACTAGAAACTAAACATATCCCTTTACAGCTGGCATCTTCCTATAGAATGTCTTTGATTCTATTGATGACAGTATCATTAACTTAATGGTCTGAATGTCACTCAAAATCCATAGTTGAAACTTAATCACCAATGTGATAGCATTAAGTGGGCTTGTAGGAGGGGGCCCTTTAGGGCCTTTACGAAAGAGCTTAAGGGACTGAATCTGCCTCTTTTTTGTTCCATCCACCATGTGAGAGCATACAATTGTCCCCTCCAGAGGATGCAATAACAAGGTGCCATCTTAGAAGTTGAGATACCAGGCTCTTCCCAGACAGTGAGCCTACTAGCACCTTGGTCTTAGACTTTTCAGCCTTTAGAACTGTGGGAAATAAATTTCTATCATCTATAATTTACCCAGTTTGTGGTATTTTGTTATAGCCACACAAATGGACTAAGATACCTAGTCTATAAACCTTGTTAGAGTGTCTTGATTTGTCTCTCATATCTAACTAGCTAATAGCTGGCTTATAGGTGTTACTTTAAATAACTCTGATATCCTTCGTTCCCACTCTACTTTCACTACCACCAATCCATTGTATTTTCTCTACATCTTATATGTGGGTTAGTTTCTTTGAGGTTGGTGTCTGCTTACTATATTGTGTACTGTCATCAGCTAATATTCCCTATATATCCTTTTCATCATCTCACTCCTTGCTCAAAACCTTTTGATAATTCAGACTTCTGAGAAAATCTTTTTAAAACATCTTTGTTTATTTTCAAGGTTTTTAAAATCTGACCGTACTTACCAATATAATTCTGTTTATAATTATACTCCAACATGCAAAACCCACTCTGTTCAGGTTGGTTTTCATTGTCCTCTCACAAGTCAAGCTGATTCCTTCCTCCAGGCCTCCCTCATGGTATTCTCCTGCTAACTTAAAGTAACTTGCCTAATTCTCTCTTCTCGTCTGAATAGAACCCTTTCCAAAACACCTGGATAGGTCTTAGTTGAGAAATTTTCTCTGACAACTTAATCTCCTTCACTGTGAAATACTAATCTAAGGTTTAGTACTTTCTTACATACTGTCTTGAGTTGTATCCTATCATTCTTATGTGTTAGCTTTGCCTTTCCAATTAGACTTTATACTTTCTGAAGACAATTCTGGGAACACAGTAGCTATTAAATGGATACTTAATTGTCTTAAGTAAAGAAGAAAGACTACTCCATTTTCTCAATGCCTGTGCTTTTGAAGTACTTTGAGATGTGTCCAAAAGCCTTAATAGTTTGTCTGAATTTTGAATTATTGATAAGGGATTCTTCTTTAATGAAAGGAATTCTATGGACTTTGACAATAGAAACAGGCCTTTGGAAGCAACAAAAGAGACACAGAAAAAAGCAGTCACTTCAATATTGGCTCTAGTTCTCCAGGATCTAAGAGAACAAGAAAGCCTTTCATCCGGTTTCAAGTAAGCAATGTCAGAAAGCCCAGCCAGGAAAAAAAAAAAAAAAAAAGCCCTGAAAGATAAACCAAAAGCCTTTTCACTTTTTCCTTGCTTGATTTTACCATTTCAGTTAGTCTTTAGAAGGAGATGCCTGGGAACTTATCTATAATCTCTTAATGCCCATTAGAGTCCAATAGCTATAGAATGTAGTATTACTGTCTTTAAAAAGTATTATGTGAATAAAGTTTCTAAAAATTGACCTAGAAACCAATTATCTAAAGTAGCTCCCAATAAACTTATTCTCTGCTACATTGTTTGAAATATAGTTCTCTAACCTGAAATATTCTTGTGCATTGATTTATTTGTTACATATTTATAGTCTCTCTCTATGGAAGCAGAAACCTCAGATGCCTTAGTCACTCCGTGTACCTGGCACCAAATAGGAGCTAATAAATACTGCCGAAAGAATAAATCATAAGGTGTACCTATCCAGTATCACTAAGATGGTGATGGGCAAAAACTATTATTTATTTCAAACACATATTCATTCCTTGCTGCACACAGCCCTTACCAAGCATGGTATGTGAGATGGGAAAGGTGATGGTGGGCTGGCCTGTCATCCGCCAACGGCTACAGAGGTAGGAGAGGTCTGTTCTAAGCATTTCCACAATCATCTTGTTGTCCAGAGCCAGGTAGAACTGTTGCTGGTCTATAAACTGAGAAAAAGAAAAACAATAGCTTAGAATAATTTACTCTTGTATTAAATAATATTTTAAAATACTCATAATGGGTATTCTAGGTGTCCCAGAGGCAACATCCCCAAATTTAATGCCTAATATTTACCAAAGTATCTAGTGGCCCATTGATACATATAAATTCTGACATTTTTACACTGTGCTACAGTTTACAAAGTATTTTCAAATACACAATTTTATTTAATTCTTTACCCAGTGACTGCTTTTCTTCTTAGATGAAAAATAAGCCTAAAAGATGATATGTAGATTGGCACAGTCATATGGCTAGAAAATGGCAAAGTTAGAAATAGAATCTACAGTCCATTACTTTTGTGTATACCTATCTTAGCTATGCTATTTCAGATGCAAGGTGACAAATGGGGAGTTTATTCTTTCTTTCCAGAAAATAATTTCTTCTACCCATACACATATATAATCAAGCTTGACATTATAATGTAGGCTAATAAACATTAGGCTAACATTGTTTATAATCACAGCTAAACACAGTACTGGCATTTTTGTTTATAAGTGGATATTGAAGATTTCCATGCATGTACAAAGGGCCCCTCCTCCAAACAATGAAAATGTTTAATTCAGGAACTGAATAAAAAAGATTGTATTTGTTTTATAAAAGACAAATAACAGTTTTAACTTTAAAAAGTAAAGGGTATTTTTTTTTTTTTAATTTGCTGAGGTTAGTTAGCTTTGTGACCTAAGATGTGATCAATTTTGGAAGATGTTCCATGTGCTGATGAGAAAAATGTGTATTCATTTTTGTTAGGATGAAATATTCTGTATATGTCTGTTAAATCCAATTGTTGGATGGTTAATTTTAAGTCTAAAATTTCTTCGCTTAGTCTCTTGTTGGAGGATCTATCCAACACAGACAAAGGAGTGCTGAAGTCTCTGGCTATTATTGTGCTGGAGGTAATCAAATTGCTCATTTCAGTGAGATTCTCTCTTATAAATTGAGGAGCATTCAGGTTGGGTGCATAAATATTAATAATTGAGATCTCATCATGTTGAGTGTTTCCCTTAACAAATATGTAGTGACCGTCTTTGTCTTTCCTTACTTTTGTTGGTTTAAAGCCTATTGTATCTGCAAATAAAATTGCCACTCCTGCTTTTTTTCTGTTTGCCATTTGCCTGAATTATATTGTGGCATATGTATACCATGGAATACTATGCAGCCTTAAAAAAGATGTTTACATGGAGGGATCTGGAACATATCCTCCTGAGTAAAGTGTCTCAAGAATGGAGGGAAAAGTATCCAACATACTCAGTACTCCTATGAAACCTACTTATATTTACTCACACATTCTTGTAAAAAATAGAACACAACCATAGCCCAAGATGATGGAGAGAAGGGGGGAGGGGGGAGGCTCGAAAGAGGGAGGGTAAAAGGAGGGATCACACCTATGGAACATATGACACGGGTACAAGACAAATCTGTGAAATGTGGAATATAGATGTTTTGGCACAATAATCAAGTAAATGAGGTAAAAGCTATGTTGACTGGTTTAATGTAACCACATTAGATTGTATAAAAAAATAAGCACATTGTACCCCACATATGCATGAATGTATTCATGATCTATGTGTTTTTGACATGATAAAAAAAATAAAAAAATAAAGAACAAAAAGGAAAGGGTACTTTGTAAGTACTCTAACTTTTTTCTTAATTTTATAATATTATTGGGGTATATACATTTTGGTTACATAGTTCACTTTTGTATGGTTAAAGTCAGAGTTAAAGTCATCTGGAAAGTGTGCTGTATACCCATGCAATGTATCCGTTGGGTGGGAATTTATCCATCCCCTTGTTCCTCTCCTCCCAACTTGAATTTCACTGAGTTTTGCTTCCTTATGAGCTTGTAGGTGTTGATTAATTAGTTCCAACTTAGTATTGAGTACATATAATGTTTGTTTTTCCATTCTTGCAATATTTCACTTAGGAGAATGGACTCCAATTCCATTCAGATGCTAGATACTAGATACTTCAATTCCAAAAGATACTAGATCTCCATCTTTTTATTACTGAATAATATTCTATGGTATACATTCACCACAATTTTTCATTCATGTATTGAAGGGCACTTAGAGTGTTTCTACATCTTTGTGATTGTGAATTGTGCTGCTATAAGCATTTAAATGCAAGTGTCTTTATGATAAAATGTCTTTTTTTCCTTTGGGTAAATACTTTAGACTGGTATTGCAGGATCAAATGGGAGGTCTACTTTTAGTTCTTTGAGGACTCTCCATACTACTTTTCATAGAGGTTGTACTAACTTGCAGTCTCACTAGCAGTATATGAGTAGTACTTCAACATTTGTATAATACCTAGCCATTATTTTTGCAACACTCAGGACAACTCTTGGTAGTCATAATCACTTAGCATAACTGTGCTGCAAGTTCAATTCAGTTCCACACAACAAATATTTACTGAGCAACTTAACATGTGCAAGGCCCCATGGTATTCTTGGACACTTATCCCAACTCTAGTAAATGACTTATTTCTACAGTGTTTCTCTTTTATTTCCATTCATCTCCATGTGTGTTCTAGTTTCCTCCACCTACCTGTGGAGTAAAAGTAAAAATAGTTTTCCGAATGTCATAGAGTTTTGAGGTTCCAAGCACTCCCATGTGTCTGTAGGGTCGTCCACTGAGTTTCATTTTATTGTTGCATCCTGACAAAGAATTGAGAAACGGTGCAGATATTTTTAATGTACCAATCAAATCACCAAATATATTTTTACATATAGGTAAACGTATAATATACGTACATACATATACACACACATACCCCTTATTTCCTTTCATTTAAGTTTTCTTTTGCGAAGTTACCATTCTGAAATTAGAATCTATCTTATAATGGATGCCTACATTAAATGTAGTTGAAAATCTTTTTGTCTTCTAAAAGGCAATTAATAGATATCTCAAAATATGGAATTAATTAATTTATTCACATGTACAGGTATTAATCCTATGTTATAACACCACATATATTATTCTAAAACATTTTCCCTGAAAATACATATTGAATATCCTTTCATGTTAGTACTGACAGAACTACTACTTTACTTATTTTTGGCTAAGATACATTTTTCCTGGGGATTTTATTTCTTGCCCCCTTGGTCACTTTTTTTTTTTTTTTTGAGATAGAGTCTCACTATGTTGTCAGTAGAGTTCTGTGACATCACAGCTCACAGCAACCTCGAACTCTTAGGCTTAAGCAATTCTCTTCCCTCAGTCTCCCAAGTAGCTGGGACTACAGGCATCTGTCATGATGCCTGGCTATTACTTTTATTGCAGGCCTGTGTTTAGCAGTTGTTTAGCAGGCTTGTGCTGGGTTTGAACCTGCAGCCTCAGTGTATGGGTGGGTGCCCTAATGACTTAGCTACAGGTGCTGAGCCCCTTGGTCATATTTCAAGGTCCATTTAGTAAAGCACACATTTTACCTGAGATAGATGCCACAACCAGGTTTATTCACTACTCCTTCCTTTTTGTCTCTATTTTTATTAGAGTAAAATACATAAAATTAAAAAAATACTTTTTAAGTGTACAGTTCAGTGGCACTAAATACATTCTCAACATTGGGCAAACATGACCACCATCTATATCCAGAACTTTTTCATCTTCCCCAACTGAAACTGTATTCATTTAAACAGTAACTTCTCACGTCCCCAACTTTCCAGCCTCTTTCTCCCAGCATTCAACTTTATTTCTCTATGAATTTGACTACTCTTGGTACCTCAGGTAAGTGGAATCATAATATTTGTCCTTTTGTATTGGCCTAATTCACTTAGCATAATGTCTTTAAGATTCATTTATGTTTAGCATATGGTAGAATTGCCTTTTGTTTTGTTTTGTTTTGTTTTGCAGTTTTTGGCCAGGGCTGGGTTTGAACCCACCACCTCTGGTATATGGGGCCAGCACCTTACTCCTTGAGCCACAGGCACTGCCCAGAATTGTCTTTTTTAAGATAGAATAATATTCCATTCTATGTTCATATACACAAGTTGTTCACCCATTCATCTATTGATGGATGTTTTGGTTGCTTCCATATTTTGGCTACTGAGAACAATGCCGAACACTGGTATACAAAGTATCTATTCGAGTTCTTGCTACTGAGAACAATGCTGAACACTGGTATACAAAGTATCCATTCGAGTTCTTGCTTTCACTTCTTTTGGATGTATACCCAGATATGCAACTGCTGGATCACATAGTAATACTAATTTTTATTTTTAGAAACCATCACACTGTTTCCCATAGTGGTTGTACCATTTTACATTCCCACAAACAGTGCACAAGGGTTTTCATTTCTCCACTTCCTCACCAACATGTATTACTTTTTTTTTTAAATAATAGTCCTTGCAATGACCTCAATGAGTGGTATCTCACTGAGGTTCTGATGTCCATTTCCCTAATTATTGGTGATATTGAACGTCCTTTCATCTCTTTAGTGTTCATTTGCCTATCTTTTTGAAAAAATATCTATTCAAGTCCTTTGCCCATTTCTGAATCTGGTTATTCATTTCTTGTTGAACCATAGTTCTTCTTTATATATTTTAATCCCCTTCAAGTTAATTTTTTTAACATGGCTTAAAGTAAGAGTCCAGTGCCATTCTTTTGCCTGTGGATATCCAGTTTTCCTGGCAACATGTGTTGAAAAGACTATTCTTTCCACAAATGAATCACCTTGGCAACCTTGCTGATATTAATCCCTTACACAAAGTATGATTTATAAATATTTTCTCCTACTCTGTGGGTTGCCTATTCACTTAGTTGATGGTATTATTCAATGCACAAAGTTTTATTTATTTATTTATACAGAGTCTTACTCTGTTGCCCTAGGTAGAGTGCTGTGGTGTCATAGCTCACAGCAACCTCAAACTCTCAAGCTCAAGTAATCTTCTTGCCTCAGCCTCCCGAGTAGTTGGGACTATAGGCATGTACCACACTGTGTGCAGTGAATTTTTCTATGTTTTAACAGAGACAGTGCCTTATTGTTGCTCAGGGTTGTCTGGAACTCTTGAACTTAAGCAATCCATCTGCCTTGGCCTCCTAGAGTGCTAAGATACAGGTGTGAACCACCAATAAAAGCCAAAAGTATTATTTTGATAAAGTTCAATTTCTCTATTTTTTCTTTCATTGGCTCTTTCTGCTGTTACAGTGAAGGAATCACTGCCAAATCCAATGTCAAAGAGCATTTCCCCTGTTTTCTTTTAAGAGTTTCATAGGTTTAGGTCTTCATTTTGATTTTTAATCCATTTCAAGTTAATTTTTTTTACATGGCTTAAAGAGTTCAATTTCATTCTATTGCCTGTAGATATCTAGTTTTCGTGGCACATTTATGAAAACACTGTCTTCCCCCCCCCCCATTGAATGGCTGTGGCAACCTTGTTGAAATCATTTGACCACATATGCAAAGGTTTATTTCTGAGAGCTGTATTCTACTCCATTGCTCTGTATGTCTGTCTTTATGCTAGTACCAAACTGTTTTGATTATTGCATCCTTGTAGTATGTTTTAAAATAAGGAAGTATGAGTTTGCCAACTTTGTTCTTCTTTTCAAAGATTGTTCTGGCTATTCAGGATCCCTTGAGATTCCACATGAATTTTAGAATGATTATTTCTATTTTGTATCAAATTGTTGGTCATTTTAGGTAGTATTGGCATCTTAACAACATTATGTCTTCTAATCAATAAACATGGAATGTTGTTCCATTTATTTTTTTCAGCAAAACATTTTTTCATGTTTTGTCATTTTTAATGCAGATGCCCTTCACCTCCTTGGTTTAGTTTGTTATCAATTAATATTTCAGTTTTTGATGCTATTATAAATGGAGCTATTTTCTTAATTTCCCTTTTAGATTGTTCATGTTCATTGTTGTTGTTTAAAAATGCAACTGACTTTGTGTTGATTTCGTATTCTGGAATAGTGCTCAACTGTTTATCAGTTCTAGTGAGATTCTTTTTTCTGTGTGACATTTTTAGGGTTTCTGCACATAAGATCACATCACCAGTGGATGGATATCATTTTAATTTTTCCATGACAATTTGGATGTCCTTTACTTTTTTTCATGACTAACTGTTCTCTCAGTACAGAACTTCCACTGCTACATTGGATGGAAAAGTGTGTGTTTTGACTATTTCTTTTTTCCTCTTGGTTATAATTAATTTGGTTTTCTAGCATGTCTTATTGTATTTTTTACACTTGATCTTAGCCAAAAGGCCAAGAAGCAATTTATTACCATCTTTTTAATGCTAAACACATTGTATAAAAATCGCAGAGGCTCTGGAGGCTCTTATTTTCATCTAGAGAGGATTTAGTTTATTTTGGCAGTTAGAAAGCTATTGCCATATCACCATAGGCCAATCAAGAATTTACAAGATTGTAGTTTAGGCTTTGTATTTGAGGTTTTCTAATTTGTGGCCTTTTCTTATTCCTAGCATACAATCCCACATTTCAAGGGTTTCAACTGAAATTCTGAGATATTTATCACACCTCCTTACAAATATGAAGGTAGTAAAATGCAATTTTTAACTTCTTTGCACCTCATCCCATGCAAGCAAAGCTTAAGAATCAGCAAATGCTTTTCTATTTATAGTGTCATTTATGCTTTCTTTTTGTCCATGTTTTGTAGTTATCCTTGTAGAGATTGTTTACCTCCTTGTTTAAGTATATTCCTAGGTATTTTATTTTCTTTGCAGATATTGTAAATGACATTGAGTTTTGGGTCTAACTCTCATCATCACTGTTATCAGTATATAGAAATGATACTAATTTGTGTACATTAATTTTATAGCCTGAGACATTACTGAATTTATTTGTCAATTCTAGGAGTCCTGTGGGTTTCCTAGATATAAGATAATATCATTGGAAAATAGGGATAGTTTAACCACCTCCTTTTCAACTGGAGTGCCCCTTATTTCTTTAACTTGCCTACATGGTCTGGCTAAGACTTCCAATACTATGTTGAATAGAAGTGGTGACAGTGAATATATTTGTTTTGTTCCAATTCTAAGGGGGAATGTTTTCAACTTTTTCCATTCAGTATAATATTGGCTGTGCATTTGTGAGCTATGTCTTTTATGTTTTGAAAAATGTTCCTTCTATGCCTAGTATATTGAGGGATTTTTGTCATAAAAGTGTGCTGGATTTTATTGAATGCTTTTCTGCAGCTATTGTTCTTAATGATGTTTAGTTGGTGAATCACATTGATTTGTTACATTGAACCATCCTTCCATCCCTGGTGAATTACCATGACTTATCTTTTTTATGTGCTATTGGATTCAGTAAAATAGCATTTTTTGAGGATGAAATGTTCTGTAGATGTCCATTAAATCCAAATGCTGAATGGTTAAGTTTAAATCCAAAATCTCTTTGCTAAGCTTCTTGTTGGAGGATCTATCCAACACTGCCAAAGGAGTATTAAAATCTCCGACTATGATGGAGCTGGGAGAAATCAAGTTGCTCGTGTCTATTAGAGTATCTCTTATAAATTAAGGTGCATTCTGGTTGGGTGCATAAATACTGGTGACTGAAATCTCATCGTATTGTGTATTACCCTTAACAAATATAAAGTGCCCATCTTTATCTTTTCTTACTTTTGTTGGTTGAAAGCCTATTGTATCTGTGAATAAAATTGCAATGCCTGCTTTTTTCTGCTTTCCATTTGCCT